CAGGCTCCTGCGGAGTCAAAATGAGCTTGCAAGGTCCCAGCTTACTCGACCGACTCAGTGGCCGAGCTATCTGCCTGGTCCACAGGAACCCCAACAAGAACTACCTTTAGGAGGGTTTATAGGGTTTATAGGGGTTATAGAGGTTATGGGCAAGTTATGGGGGTTTTTGGGGGTGATAAGGGTTTAGGGTACGATCTTTGCCAGGCGTTGCCTCTGAAATGCGTACCTGCTGGTTCAAGAGAGAGTTTCCATGGACAAAGCACAAGCTATGTACTCATAGCAGCAACAGGTGATGATGGTGATGACCATTGTCAGCAGTGACGCAGATGATGCAGGAGGAGGAAGACAAGGAGAAGAGTTTACAGACAGGCATGAGCTCTCGTCGGCATGGAATGGGCGCGATTGATTCACATGTCAGAAATTCCGCAGAAGGGGCTCATCACAGGTATGTGAAAAGCTCGGATCAAGCAATAAATCCCTGATCTCGCAAATACCCATTCCTTTTTCCTCGCACCATGGCAGGTCAGCAAGGTGTACTGCGGAAGAACCTACACACAGCACCTCCCCATGACCCCTGTTCCCTCCGGCTGCATTTTTTGCTAAGGTTGGTCTAGCCTTGGCTGTCTACCGCGAGATCCCTGCTTCAGAGAGGCGCATGGGCATAATTGCCGGCCTCTGTAGTTACAGAGCTTGATCTCTCAACAGTCACCCTCCTTGTCTCCGTTGCGGTCCGCGTGCAGGTCTGTTTTGGTGCGCGCGGTCTGGCCTCCCCCAAGCCCAACCCAACAACCCTACAATCATGCGAGGGTTCACAGTCCAGGCTTCCTTATACTCATGAAGCACAGAAAGAGGGGCTGCTTTGCCCGCAGTTGTGATTTACAAGGGCCTGCTTAAGCGAAGTGTGCCTTGACATCATGTGTTAGAAGAAGGGAGTTTGCTTCTAGTCGAAGAGTTCTTGACGAGGGTGAAGATGAACTAGTGCGGGACAAGTAGATTCATTGATGGCTTGAAGCTTGTTTCGGCTTGGGTTCCCTGAACTCATGAAAGTCAGGCAGTATTCCTGCTGGAACATCCCCAGTAAAGAACGCAAGCCTGCAGGTACACTATCCATCTGCTAGGAACGCCTTATATGAAGCCCTATGGAACCATAGAATCCTGCCTATCAAGTGCTGTCGTTCAGCTTCACAGGTGTGGCAGGAGGGGCCTGATGCAAGATCAAAAGAGAGGCAATGTACCAATCGGGTAGTATTACTTTGTCGGAGAGGTTGTTACCTGGGCCGCAGTATATAGAAAAGATGTTCAGCCCTCCTTCCGTACAGCTCATTTTACACAGCTGCTTCTCAGACACGCCAAGATGCCTCAGGCACCCCCCGCCCCTTGAGGAACACCTCACTGCCCATTGGAGACTAATTAGCCCGGTGTTGTCATCGTCCGCATGAAGCAACCTTTCAATTAAAAATCCTCTCGTGATATCAGGTGAACTGAACACGGTTTTGGGGATAGGCCTTCCTATGCATTCCCGACATGGCTCGGTAAAATCCATGTCGTGTCCTCGTTGTTTATTATTGTTTTTGGCTCGGAGACTTTGTGTACGTGGCGGACAACCTAGTGGGGTTCAGGACACTCCGTGCCGGTGGTTGGGCCCATTCAGCTGGTGGTATGGAGATCAAGGACAAGGCGCCGGCGCCGCAGAGACTTGGAGGGAATTTTGGGGGAGGCTGAATGTCAAATACGTCTAAGGTGGGGCAAGGCCTTGCATTATCTTGAAGGTCACAGAGGATTGCGTTGAATGTGAACAATCTCCGGCTGAAGCCCCCATTTGCCGTCCTGGAAATCGTTTGCGCGCAACGTCTGTTTTTCCAGGACCCGCAGCTTTGCTATTTATTTGCTTACGAACTCAACGAACTGGCACAACTCCTGGTTTGCAGCACATTAAACAAAAAAGGCGCCAGAGTGTATCAGTACAGCATCTTGCATGATTGCGATGCAGCTGCTTCACAATCAAGAAGGCCAAGAAGCTGGTACTTGTACAGATGACAATACTAGAGCACGGCAGCAGGGCCGTATGGCTAGCTTAAGACTTCGCTGACTTGGTGCAGGTTGTTGGAATTGTCGGTCTCGGCGACATTGGCATGAGGCTGCTGAGCGAGTGTGCCACGTGAGATGCTACAAGAACAATAGCAGCAACCACCGCCGCCGCCGCCACCACCAAGAAGAAGCAGAAGCCAATGTAGCTGTACTGTAACCTTGCTAACACAACGAGTCGGACCTTATAGTAAAAGATGATCATACCAGCAAGCAGCATGAAATTTTTGTTGCTGTGCAAAGATAAGAACCATCATTAGCATGCGTCTAGGCGCCGAATTGCTTCAGTACATTCTTTCAAGCCTCGCTAGCCCTCCGTTGCTCCCCACCTTTTGAGTCTTTCGATTGGCCTGCATGCTGATTTAGATGAATGCCCCGGACAGATGCGAAGTCTTATCGCCCTAACCATTTATAGTCCCCCTTGAGTAGATAGAATATGGGTATATGGGATCTTATTATAATATACCCAAAGCCATATTCTATCTACTTGAGGGGGACTATAGCTACAAGCCCAGCCAAAGCAGTGCTGGCTTGCGCAAGAACCGCGGAGCTCTTCAAGGCCTTTGGCCCCAGCGAAATTCTTGGCTGGTCCGGCCCTTGGTGCCTACCTTTGTTTTGATTGTTCTTGTTATCCATTTCAGTTGCTACTAGCAGTATAACTACAGTGGCAATTGAAGGCATCACTATAATTCATTCTGAAGTCCTTCCACAGCAAGCTAATAATCCCCATTAGCAATCCCCACTATGACTTCTTGTTCTTCTTCGACGACTACTACTACTACTACTACTAACTACTACTACTACTACTACTACTACTACTACGACGGCGGCGGCGGCGGCTGCTGCTGCTGCTGCTGCTCCTCCTCCTCCTCCTACTACTACTACTACTACTACCACCACTACTAGTACTAGTAGCCATAGTACTTGTATTCCTCATGCTCAATACTACGAGGTCGCGTCGGCCCAAGCCAGCATTCGACTCGCTGGGAAAGCAGGTTCCTATTGAGGAGCAAGTGCGCAGTTCACGCTGCCTGGAAGCTTTCTGACGCTGAGTGGTAGGGTTTAGGGCCTAGGGTTTATCTCATCACGTTGGAGTTGCTGTCATGCTGCAGCTGTGGGGCATGAATAGCGTCCTGATGAGGTGGGATTGTTTGCTGGAAGGGCTAATTGGATTAAAGCCCAGCTCCAGTTCCTCCCAAAGGCATATGGATATTTCACGAAACTGGGTTCGCCCATTTTGCATCAACAGTTTTCATCCTTCCTAGAGACAAGCCGCAAAACAGAAACCTGTACCCTTGAGACCCCGATATGCTGGCGGCAAGGAGCTGTTCGAGAAGTCGGACATCGTGTCCCTTCACGTGGCTCTCAATGTCGGAGCCACTGCTTTGGGAATCCAGGACGTGAGTAGATTTTTATTTGGGGATACTATGATACCCATTATAGAGTAAGATTATATCCTCCCTTTGGGGTATAGTATTTTATGTAAGGAACATACTCTTACTGGGTTTAACCACCAAAAAAACTCTGCTCACGTGAGGGGTAGTAGTTGGTGCATGTCAACATATCCACATGTCTTGGAATCTGTGTGAAAAGCAATTGTGCTGCAAGGCCTTCATTTTGTGGAACCGAAGCCCGAGTAATGCACAACTGTTGGGCAGTAGCCATTGCTTAATCGCGAAGGCTTTCACAAAGGCCTTCGTGGACAGGGAAACCAAGGAACCGGGGCCTTGGTTTGGGTTTGGAATTTTTAGCTGAGTTTCGGGGGAGCCTAGGGTGCCTGAGTGAGCGACATCAAGTTCGGAAATCGCCCCTTCAGAGATTGTTAGCCGGCCACGGTGGTGTAGCACCTGGACATCACATCAGCTACTGTCAAGATTAGCCGTATTAAGGGACCCTTAACAGTGGACGCAACGCCCCTATCTCAAACCCTGAACCGGAACCTAGACTTCCTTCTGCGAACCCTGACTTACTGGTGGTCAGTAGGGAATCTGGGAATCGGATCCCCCGACAGTCCCAATTGAAAACATTCCCTCATTCCCTACTAACCACCAGTAGGCTGAACCCAACTTGAAGGTTCATGGATAGTTGCCGGTAGTTATGAGTGGAGCGGTTATTGGGGGAAAATGTGAATCTATCCTACTTTGTCTGAATTAATAACTTATGACTACCTGGGCCCAAGAATCAGCAATGGCTCAAAGCTCAACCTAGGGTTCCAAACAGCCCAATGTAGGTAATATTTACAGACTTTGGGGCGCATATAGGTATTTTTTTGTGTACATGGATCCATAGCCCAGTGTTTTATGTCATGTTTTGGGTAACATGTTCAACTTCCTCGCACCGAAAAGAACCTCCGAACCCTAAGCCTTGAACCCAGGCGTCTGGCTTGCAGC